AACAGTAGGTTTACTTCAGCTCCTTCCCCGCCTTCTGAGCCACTGGTCCTCCTCCCCCTCTGCCCAACCCCTCCCCCAGGGAAAGCTGTTGATAAAGTTCAGCTAGTGGCATAATGGGGACCCTGGCCAGTGAGTCCCTCTCCAGAAAAGATGCCCAGCTCCTTGGGCATCCTAGGAACAGTCTGGCTTCCCCAGGGGACCTGCCGCTGGACGGTGGCCCACTCTTGTCTAGCTGACCATTCCTTAGCCACTGGCTGGGTTCTCAGCGCCCCCTGCTGGTCAGATGAGGCTGCCTTCAGTGCCAGCTTGGGGAGCTAATGTGTTTCGTCCAGCAAGGACTCACTCGCAACTGTCTCAGTCTCACAAGGCGGCTCCCTGGGACTGCCTAGGACTGCCAAGGGCTCCTCTACTGGGTGACTGGGACCCCAGATGCAATGGGTCTGTTTCAGGCCACCAATGAGCATGAACGCTATTAACCGATGTGTACTAATTGTTGGGCAGCACGTTAAGTGCTTTAAAGCCCGCAATATCATTTTGCCCTCCTAATGACCTATAGGATTAACACTGTTTTTAGAATACATTATAATACCCATTTTACAGCTGAGAAAAGAGGCTCAGAACAGCGGGGGGGCCCATCCAAGGCCACACAGCTAGAAAGGGGCAGAGAGGGTCTGGCTGTCCAGACCTGGCTGTCTCCTGAGTCCTGCCGCCTCCCGGGCAACGCAGGCTTATCTCAGAGGAGGTGGCACGGGCGTGCGCTGGGAGAGCAGGAGTGTCATGTTGTCCCCCCCCCCCACTGGTCTAACATGGGGACAGCAGGCAGCTGGAACGACGGGAGACATCAGGACACCTGGTCCTACTATGCCCAGCTGGCTGCTCTGTGACCTTCAGCCAGTCCCTTGCCCTCTGGCCTCAGCTCACCTCCTCTGTCAAGTGACAAGCCCGTGCCACATACCGGAGAAGGCCCTTCCTGTGTCTGATTCGTCCTGCCACCCCCATCTCACCGAATCCGTAATCCCACTCATGACACAACTTCGCGGCAGTCCTGGGGCCCCGTGAGCTGCCTGAAGTTGTGCGTGAAATTGCGTATGAGTGTGTGTGTGTGAGTGTGTGTGTGTGCGCCCAGCGAGCATTCTGTGCAGGGAAGTGCCCATATTCTTACCAGATTCTAATCCCGAAAGGCTAAGCATCGTTGATTATTCCAACCTTTTAGCAAGAATGTCCCTAACCTCGATCCAAGTTTTTAGGGGAATGCGTGGAGAAAGTTGAGTCTCTAACGTGTACACTTTTTCCCTTCCCTGTGTCCGCTCAGGCTTTCTGGAGCCGCACCAGCTCCCGCGCCCCTGGCTTCCGCCCTCGGGCCACACTGACCTCGGAGGCGCCCGCCCTCACTGCTCCCGGATAGCTCTGCCTCCGCGCTGAAGCTCGGATCCACCTCTCTCGTCATTGAGTCCTCATTGAGTCCTCATCCCCGTGTCCTTCCCTAGACCTGCGATGACGCCAGAACTGGCGGAGTCCTTCGTGAGGTAGGTGCAGTGACAAGGCTGGCCACTAGGGGCCGCTGGCAGATGAACCCCTTAGAACCTGGGAGGCAGAATCTCGCATCTCATTGGCCCCTTTGGCGGTGAGGAAAGGAGACCTGTATTCTGGGTCTGGCCCCTCCCCTTGGTAGGGCTCAGTTTTTTCATCTGTAAAGTGGAGGGAGGTGGCCTAGAACCCTTAGATGGTTGCTAAGCAACCTTTCAGCCACTGAGGTCCAAGGGACCTTTCTGATTGATGCTGGAGGGGAGAGGGGGTCTTGAACTCCCCTTGGCAGAGCGTCCATCCATCCGTAGGGAATGGACCAAAACAACTCCAGGGCCCTCCCCAAAGCTTGACTGAGAAAACAGAGCCCATTGTCCTGCAGCATGAAGGGATGCCTTGCCCCTGGGAGAAAGGAGAGTTCTAAACAGGGCTGCCCCAAGAGCTGCCTGGAGTGGCTAGGGAAATGGAGACCCCACTGGAGGAGGCCTCCCAGGGGTAGGGGGGGCTTGAGATCGGGGCTCATGGGGCCTGGGTGATGGACGGCAGCCTGCTGGGACACGGCTTCCGTCCGTGTCCGGCGAAGCCCGGCAGACCGCGGCAGGAAGGTAGAGAACGTGGCCCTGTTCTCACGGCCGCAGGCTCTGGGAGTGGGGCCCGGGCCTGGGCCACCCTCCTCACGCAGCTGCTCTGGGCCATCCTGTCCCAGTGCTCCTGGACTTTCCCCCATCAGCTCTGAATTCTGGGCCTTGTGAGAGCAGGGGAAGGTTCAGAGATGAGGGGGGGCCCTGCAGAAATGCACCCAAACATCCATCCCAAGACCCCCTCCAGGGATAGGGCCAAGCCCTCAAAGGCACAGAAAAACCCTCTCCCCATCTCCCACCCCACGGCTTGCTCTCTTCACCCACCCACCCCCAAATGATTAAAGAACAGGACACAGGACACAGGCATGACAGCGATGCAGAACGTACTCTACAAAAGTTGTAATGAGCCTGCGGGAGGGGGGCCGGGACGGTGCTGGGGTCACCCAGCTCACCCCACCCCGGCACTCGGGAGAGCGGGGAGGGCGGAGGCAGTGCACAGCCAACGGCAGGGGGGAGGGGGCAGCACCTGGGGCTCGAGGGAGGGCGCGACGGCACTTGGGGGGGGCCCAGGCTCAGGCCCAGAGTGGGGAGGAGGGCCGGGGTGGGCTCAGGCAGCAGTGGCAAGCAGCCAAGCCCTCCAGCTGGGCCCAGGGGCCACACCCCGCCCCCTCCATCACACCTGAGCTCTGGGCATGTGTGCACGGGGCCCACATAGGGGCCTGGAGACCCAAAGAGAGGCCTGTGGCATCTTCGGGGGTTCCCTTCCCCTGCCCTGGCCGAGGGGGCCCAGGAAGGAGCGGGGGCGGGGGGGGGGGTGACTGTGGCAGTGCTCCCAGCAGAAGCTGCCTCCCAAGTTGAAGGTCAGGGGTGGGGTCCACTGACGGGGGTGTGCGTGTGCACACACGTGTGCCTGGGCTTCTGAGCGACTCTCCCACATCTGCGACCTCAGTCCGACCGGAGAGCTCTGAGGACACGCGTCTGAGGACCCCCTGGGGCTGGCCTCTCTCCCGGACTCACCACCATCGCACAGCAGAGGCGCGTGCTGCTCTTGCTCACACACTATTGATGCGGGACATGCAGCCGCCCCCAGGTCTTGAGGGAAATCCGCTCCCCAGCTCCGTGCACGGGCACCCAGAGCCCTGGGACCCAGGGGCCATCGGCAGCTCAGATAACCCCCGTCCCCAGGCCGCTCCGGTGTCCGCCGGGCAGGGTCGCCCACCCAGTCCCCACTGGGCTCAGGTCTGAGGGCCACAGTACTACAGCCGGTTACTCTAGCACCTTTGCGTCCATTGCCCTGACCCTCTGGGGTCCCAGCCAAGGAGCGGGAGGGTAGGGGAAAACAAGGGAGGGAGGGCAGAGCCAGACCAGACGCCACCCCAGGGTGAGATGGGAAGGCTGCTGGTCACCCCCCTCCCCACGCTCTCCAGCCTGGCACTCCAACGCCCCGGTGTGACCAGTGCACGGAGGAGAAGGGGGCTGGCTGTGCTAGGGGCGGGGTGGGGACTCCAGTCAGGGCATTTGGCTGAAGAGTCTAGCCAGGACCTCTTCTCTGGGGTGTATGGGGCGGGGGGGAGGCAGCCCAAATTCTTCCCTTCACAAAGTGTCCAACCTGAGCAGGATGAGACCCTCAGAGGAGGGGTGGGGCAGACAGTGGCCCCTGGGACAGGGGCCCCTAACACACGCACTCCCACCCAAGTCTCAGGGGCCTGTTGTCGAGCCCCGGGGCCCCGGTGACCCCCACCTTTCCTCTGGCCTCCTGCAAATCCCCAAGTCCTTTAGGGCCACTCAGATGGGCGTGGCTCCAGGGCTCCAGGACCCATCTGGGAGCCTCCGGGTCGAACCCTCTGCTTCGGAGTTCAAAGGAGATGAACCCCATGGTCCCTGCCCCTGGGCCGGGGCCTGGGGGGCTGCAGGGCTGGCACCTGTGAGGACTCCGTGTGGCCCCACCGTGGGTTGTGGCAACTTGCAATTCATTTTGGTCTTGGGGGTAGAAGCCCCCTGTTATCTGTGGAGACAGAGACAGAAAGAGACCTCAGAGGAGAGCCTTTGAGACACTTTGAACCAAGACTAGCCACGTTACCGCCATCCCATCTCTGGGCCGGCTGATGGTCAGACATGGGGACGCCTACCCAGGAGTGCCCACGTCACACCCCAAACTCTAAACCAGACTGCCTCCAACGGCCACCCCTGCCCAGGCATGTAGGGCAAAGGCCACAGATACCAAAAGGGCTTGTGGGGTGCCATGAGGGAGGGGTGGAGGCAGGGGTGGGCCACCGTGTGGCCAGCGTGGCAGCAGCCTCGAGCTCCCATAATGGCTTTTGGGATGTGACAATCCTGCCCTTTGCAGGAGTCACCCAGTCCCTAAGCTTTAAAGTCACACAGACCAGGGACCAAGCCCAGCTCTGCCCCCCCCCCACCCCCCGCCCCCCCCCCACAGCAGCAGGCCCTTGGGGGGGAGCACTGTAACCCCCCGAGCCTCCACTTGCTTGCCCGGAAAATGGGCTCATACAGCCCTAGGCTGGGGAATTGGAAGGGTTCAGTGTGAGAACACACGCAAGGGCGTCTCCAGCATCCGGGACACGGGGAGGGCTCAGAACACCCGGCCGGGACGACAGGACCACTGCGTCTCATCCGGACTAAGACATCCCCGCTCCCACACGGTGATACGTCCAAACTCGAGGCACCCTTTACAGTCGCTGTGACAAGAAGGCCTTGTGTCACCATCAAACTGGCAGCTTCTTTTCCCGAACCGGTGGTAACAAAAACAAGCAGGGCCTCTTGTAACTGAGGGCGACTTTAGCTCTATGAAATACGGTACCACCCCCCACTTCCTGGAAAGGCGGGTCCCCACCCCCCCCACCAACCCCCTCTGGCCCCGCCCCCAGGCTGAGGCACTCACAGCTCCGTGTCCTCCAGCGCGGGAGGGCGCTCCAGCGCCTGCCTCCGCCTCCGCACGGCGCCCATGATCTTCTTGCGCGGCCCCAGCGGGACGCTGATGCTCCGCAGGTCGAGGTCCGAGCACAGCATCAGCGCCTCCAGGTCGATCTTCTCGTGCCGCAGGAGGGAGGCGAAGTCCTCCATGTGCAGGGAGGCCAGGAAGGTCTCCAGCGGGCTCGTCTCGGGCTCCAGGTCCTCATCGAGGCCCAAGTCCAGCTCGTCCCAGGGCAGCTCCTCCCCGCAGCTGCGGTCCTGCAGGCTGTTGGCACTGCCCAGGCTGTCGTCGTCCAGGCTGGGGGAGCTCTGCAGCCGGCCCCGCGGCGTGCTGTCCAGCGCCGCGTCCTCGCGGCCCAGCCCGTGCAGCCCGCTGCCCAGGTAGTTCCTGCGGAACACCATGGTGCCCAGGCCGGGGCGGGTAAACAGGGAGTCGTGGCCTGAGTCGGTGCTGACCTCCGAGTGGGCGGGCTCGGCCGCCAGCGTGGCACGGGAGACGCTGTCCTCGTCGGAGAGGAACATGTCCCGGAGCGGGGAGCGACCCCACTCCTTGGGGTTGGCGTAGGGGCCCTGGCGCACGAACATCACGTCGCTGCCCAGCTGCAGGCCGGACAGCGAGCGCACGCTCTTGCGGCCGTCCTCCGATATCTTGAAGGTGCCCTCGCCGCCCTGCTTGCGCCGCTCCAGCTTCCGCTGGATCTTGGTCTTGCCCCGGTTGGTGCCGTGCAGCGTGGCCTGCGAGTAGGGCAGGTGGCTGCCCAGCGCCAGGTGTTGCAGCCGGCCACTCAGGGTGCTGGACGTGAGGCTGGAGAAGCTGAGCGTGTCGGAGCGCTCGGCCAGCTCGCGCCGGTAGCGCCGCTCCATGCGCTCGTGGTGCTTGCGCTGCATCTTGGCGCACTCGCGGATGCGCCGCTCCGCCTCGCGGAAGGCCTTGTCCTTCAGCTTGCCCACCAGCTTGGGGTTGAGGCTGCTCTGCTTGGCCGCGATGGAGTCCAGGTAGCGCACGCACTCCATGTGGCCCTTCATGGCGGCCATGTCCAGCGGGGTGTGGTAGTCGTTGTCCAGGCACCAGATGTTGGCCCCGAAGGACACCAGAAAGGAGAGGCAGTGCAGGTGACCATTGGAAGCTGCCAGGTGCAGGGGCGTGTTGCCCCAGATGTCACACTTGTCCGGGTCACCCCTGCAGTGCAAACACGTGGAGAGAGGGGATGAGCCATCTCAGCTCTGGCAGCAGGCAGCAGGCAGCAGGCGTGGGGAGCTCCCCGCCTGGGTCAGCCTCCGCAGGCACAGCGGAGGGACCCGCGGGCCTGAGAGCTGTCCTCTGCCTCGGGGGGGACACGCAGCTCTGAGCCACCAGACAGACGTGGAGTGAGCCCAGGGGCAAAATGGCCCCAGGTACCGCAGGGGGCGGGGCGACAGAGAAGGCGTGGCCTTCCCCCAAGAGCACGGAGGGCTGGGAATCTCAGGGGATAAATATTTGATGCCCAGAGAGAAAGAGGTGAATTATTCATGGGGCCTAGTGGGGAGCTGGCCCAGAGAGGTGGTGGGCCAGGGTGAGTCTGGGTCTCTAGGCAGACGAGGTGGTGCGCGTGGCTGTGTGTTCGGGGGGGCACCATGAAGGAGGCGGAGAGGGCAGTGTGTGCTGGGCCCGGGCCTGGGCCTGGGCGAGTGCGTGAGGGCGTGTGCCTGCGTGGTGGCGGGCCCGGCCATGTCTGCAGGGAGCGGGGCCAGGCCTGGCAAGCCCGAGTGTGAGAGCAGGTGTCGGGTCTTGGCCTGGGCCAGGAGGGGAGCGTGGGGGCAGCCAGGACTAGAGGGGAGGAGGAGGGAAGCCTGCAACCTGGGCCCAGCCTCCCTCCGGCCCCTGTGCCCCTGCTGCCCCTGCTGCCCCGTCCTGGGGAGCCCCGAGAGGCAGGCTGGCCTGGACCTGGCCAGGGGTTCCACGCAGCCCCCTCCAACACCCTCAACATCAGGCTGTGCTCCCCTTGGGCACCATTCCGCTGGCTCCTCCAAGCTCTCCCCTGCTCAGGCGCCTAGCTCAGCGCCTCAGCCTCCTGCGAATGAGGCCACAAGGGCACCCAGCGGGGCCGGAGGAAAAATCACCCCTTTGTCATTACGGCTGCCGAACAACCCCCTCCTCACTCCCCCCCCGCCAGTCGCCAAGTCCTGCAGGACAGCGTGGGAGGGGGTGTCTGGCACCTGGTATCCACACCTAAACACCAGCCCTGGTTGTCCATGGGAGTTGGGGGGGGGGGCAAGCTTGAGTCTCTCTGAGGGTGGGGGCAGGAGGGCAGGGTCATTGTGTGCCCTGTTGGTGTGGGAGGGACCAGTCTGGCCGCTTGGAACATGGCTCGGCTGCCTGGTCTTAGGGGCTGCCCCCAGCCTGCTGGGCTCCGGGAACAGCCACCGAGGAAGGGTCAGGGGTTCCCCCCGACCCACCACACATTCAGGCCACAGGCCAGCGCCCGGCACCAGGGCCAGCGGGGGCCCCGCCCCCCACCCTGACCTCCCTCCCTGAGCCTGAGATGTGCACGTTGGCCCTCCCAGGGCATCGCGCCCACTCTCGTCTCTGCCTGGGCTGCCCCGGTGTCCAGTTCAACCTGACTTCTCTTTCTAAATCTGCTGGGGGCAGGGAAGTCACCCACAGTGGTGCCGTTCCACCCCAGGAGCCCCCTCCAGGGTCCCTGGACCCTGCGTTCCTCAACTGCCACCTCCCAACCCCTGACATCCGGACTCTGGGCCCAGCCCTCCCCCTAGACAGCTCCGAAGGGAGAGCGAGGCAGGCTTTGGTGGGGGAGGGGCACGGAGGGAGTCGTGGAGTGGCTGAACGCAGTGACAGTTGGTACTGTGGACAGTGCCCATAAATCCCGGCAAGGAGCAGGGAGCCGGTGTGAGCCTCAGCCTGGGGGGAGGGGCTGCTGCTGGGGGAGCCCTTTGGCTGCCCAGCTGGGGGCAGGCAGCGAGGGGCCCCTCCTTTCCCAGCCCCACCCTGACCCACCAGGGCTTTGCACCTTCTGTCCTTTCTTCCGTGGCACCTTGCAGAAAGTACACTTCTCACACTCTCTTCAAGGGGCCACCCACCCAGGAGACCTCTCCCCCACTCCCCCCTTCCCCTCACTCTGCAGACGCTCCCACAGTCACGAACCCCCAAACCCTAGGCCTCCTCCCCTAGCCCCGTATCCAGGTCACAAGTGTCACACGCCTCCCTGTGCTCCCCACCTTCCCACGACTGCCCGCCGGGCTCCAAGGTGCCACCTGCGGGTCCGTGGCTGGGGCAGGGAGTGGCTCAGAGGAGAGGGTGCTCTGGAATCTGGGGGAGGGTCTGGGGGGCGCTGGAGGGCGCTGAGAACTCTCTTCCCCATCCCCCTCGGACTCACCCCCGGCTCACGATGAGGCGCAGGGACTCCAGGTTGCCATGGTAGGCAGCCCAGAGGGTGGGGGTCATGCCATCCTCGTCGGGGGCGTTCAGCTCCTTCCGGGTGGCCTCCTTGAGGAGCTCCAGGTAGCCGTCCCTGGCTGCCCGGTGGTACTGGTCGTTCATGGCTCCGGACCAGGGCGGGGCGGGAGGGGGGGCACGGGGAAAGGCCCCCCGCGGGGGAGGGTGTCGGCGTTAGGACTGAGGCATGGGGTTGGGGGACGGGGACGGGCAGGGGCAGGGGCCGGGGCTGCCAGCCCCCGCTGCCGCAGACGGAGGATGCGGAACGCCAGAGCCGCCGCTAGCTGCTCCGACATCTGAGCCGCTCGCTGGCGGGAGGGGAGCGGGGGAGGATCTTCTTCGGCCGGGGAGCCGCCCCCGGGCGGCCCCTGGGTCCTAAACACCCTGCCCCCCGAGAACTCAGGGGTGACCAGGCAAGGCCCTGCCCTCTCTCCGAAAGTGCCCCCCTCCCCGGCGTCGCGCGCTGTGAAGACCAGTCTGGGGACAGTCCGAGGTCTGTCCTCGCTGGAGCCCAGGGGCGCGCCTTCCGACGTCTCCACCCACCAAAGGAGCGGGCCGAGGGCTGGGGGAGGGTGTCTCTGCGGGCAGTCCTGGCCCCTAGATCAGTGGGCCTGTGAGGGGTGTTACTACCCACCGCCGGACAGTCGGCAGGTGGAACGCGCCGTCCGGGCCGCCGCCGCCGCTCCGGGGGTGGCGGCAGGAGGCCTTCCAGCAGGGGGCGCCAGAAGACCGGGCGCGGCGCGTCCGAGGAGAACTCCGCCGCGGCTGGCGGAGCAGGGGAGGGGCAGGGAGACACAGGCGGAACTTAGACCCAAGGAAGGATTCGGGGTCGGGGGCGGGGGGGGGGCGGGGAGGGGGGAGGGGTCCAGATCTCGGGGCAGCCACAGAGGAGCACAAAGGCACAGGGCGCACCGAGGGTGTCGCAGTGCCGCCCGACCCTTGGGGGCGTCATTGAGCACCAGTTCTCGGGACCCCTGGCGGCCAAGACCGCGGGGTGCCGGGGCGCGGTGGGCGGCGGGGGCGGGGCGCGCTCTGGGCGGCGCAGTGCGAGGCCGCGCCCGAGCCTGGTCCCGAGGAGGTGACGGGGAGGCGGGGTGAGGGTGGGGGGGGCGCGCCTGTTAACGGGTAAATGTTAAATCTCACCTTCTCCGGCTCCCGCGCGCCCTTCCCTAAATTCAGCTCGGAGAAAAGATGGATCATGTGAGTGGGACTGAGAGGCTGAGGGAGCCGAGCTCCCCGGGCTGTAAATCACCCTGCCCGCCCGGCTCCGAAGCTCCGGTCCAGCCCGGCGCGGGAGAGAGGAGACGCTCGCCGCCCTCCGACCGCCAGCTCCGCGCGGGCTCCCGGCCCAGCCAGGTGGGTGCGCCGGGCCAGGGCGCGCGCGGATTTGGGGAGTGGAGGCCTTGCTCGAGGTCCGACAGGGCTGCCGCCGCCGCCGGACGCGGGCAGCCTCGGCTTTTCTCCTCCCCATTCCCAGGGCTTGCTCGGGCGCCCACAGCCCGCTGTGAGTTAGAAACTCCCCCCATCCCCAAATCTAGGGATGAGATCGGGGAATGAACCTGGGGCCCCGCTCGCTCCTTCCCCACAGTGATCCCTCCAGGATCGTCCAGCCGCCCTGCCGCCCTGCCATGTCCGAGGATCCGGCCGCCCGCCCCGAGGAGAGCCGGCCGGCGCCGCGGGCGGGCCCCCGCGAGGTGTGGAAGAAGGGCGGCCGCCTGCTGTCCGTGCTGCTGGCGGCGAACGCGCTGCTCCTCGCCTGCGCGCTCATCAGCGGCGGCGCCTTCAACAAGGTGGCGGTGTACGACACCGACGTGTTCGCCCTGCTCACCACCATGATGCTGCTCGCCGCCGTCTGGATCCTCTTCTACCTCCTGCGCACCGTGCGCCGCCCTCAGGCGGTCCCCTATCGCGATGCGCACGCCGGCCCCATCTGGCTCAGAGGTGCCGGGGAAAGTGGGGGCGGAGGTGTGTGTGTGGGGGGGGCTGGCAGGGGGCTGGAAGCGGGGGCTCTCCCAGGAATTGCGGAGGGCGTCGTGGAGGGAGAGGGGTTAGAAGTCCCCCTGGCAAGACTAGATGTGGCTGAGGGACAGGTGGGCTGCAGTTCAGGAGGAGAGGAAGCAGGGAGAGGGTCCCGGAGGAGGGATGGAGGGGAGCTTCTTTGCCGCGCCTGAAGATCAGGAAAGGGCGGCCCTGGGAGAGCCTCTGACGGAGAGCAGAAAACAGGCGAGAGCTACTGCTGGAAGGGCCCATCTAGGACCCCTCCCCTTGTCTGTTTAGCCTCAAAGAGATGGGACCCAGTGGGACATCCTTCCGTCCACCTATTCAGTCGTTCACTCATCCTTGCATCCACCCATTCGTCTTTCAGTCCATCCGTTCACCTCTCCACCCACCCACCCATCCATCCACCCACCCATCCACCCATCCATCCACCCATCCATCCATCCACCCATCCATCCACCCATCCAACCACCATCCACCCATCCATCCATCCATCCATCCCCCCCCCCATCCCCCCATCCACCCATCCATCCATCCCCCCCATCCATCCACCCATCCAACCACCATCCACCCATCCATCCATCCATCCATCCCCCCATCCCCCCATCCATCCACCCACCCATCCATCCGCCCATCCACCATCCCCCCATCCATCCACCCACCCATCCATCCACCCATCCACCATCCACCCATCCATCCACCCACCCATCCATCCACCCATCCATCCATCCACCATCCACCCATCCATCCATCCACCCATCCACCCATCCACCATCCACCCATCCATCCATCCATCCACCCACCCATCCATCCATCCACCCATGCACCCATCCACCATCCATCCATCCCTTCATCCACCCATCCATCCACCCACCCATCCATCCACCCATCCACCTCTCCATCCATCCATCCATCCACCCATCCATCCACCCACCCATCCATCCACCTATCCATCCATCCACCTATCCACCCACCCATCCATCCACCCATCCACCTCTCCATCCATCCATCCACCCACCCACCCACCCATCCATCCATCCACCCACCCATCCATCCACCCATCCATCCACCCATCCACCCATCCATCCATCCATCCACCCACCCATCCATCCATCCACCCACCCATCCATCCACCCATCCATCCACCCATCCATCCAATCACTCATCCTGCCATCCATCCTCAGACCCACAAGCCTGCCCTCCTGCCTCTCTGATCCACCCCCCAAACCCCCTTCCCAGGTGGGCTGGTGCTGTTTGGGATCTGCACCCTGGTCATGGATGTCTTCAAGACCGGCTACTACTCCAGTTTCTTCGAGTGCCAGTCGGCCATCAAGATCCTGCACCCTCTCGCCCAGGCTGTGTTTGTGGTTGTCCAGGTGAGTGGATGGGAGGCGTGTCCTTGAGTGTGGTGGACAGGGGCCAACACCTGGGAGGGGGTCAGGAGGCCTGCGCTCCACTCTTTGTCTGCCCCGAGCAACCCGATAAGGCGGAGACAGAACTGTAGAGGAGGCCACACGAGGTCATGCATCCGGAAGTACAGGGTGAGGGAGTACTATCCAAATGTGAGGGCCCACTTAGGGGCCCTGTGAGTTCATTTCAGCCTGGGCAGTGCCGCCAGTTAACACCCAAGAGGTGTGGGTGGTGGCAGTCACCCTAGAGCCTGCCCTCCGACATCCCTGCCCGCCCGCCCTGGGGGCCCGTGGAGGGTGTCAGTCTCAGCCCAGGGTCCTGCTGCAGGTGTGGCCAGTGGGCCTCAACCATGGCCCCTGTGTTCTGTATTTGTTCCGGAAATAGGGTATGCTGTACCTGGGGTTTTTCAAACACGTTCAAATACATATTTTTTAAAGATTTTTTTTTGTTTATTAGAGAAAGAGGAAGGGAGGGAGAAAGAGAGGGAGAGGAATGTCAGTGTGTGGTTGCCTCTCATGCGCCCCCACCTGGGGACCTGGCCCTCAACCCAGGCCTGTGCCCTGATTGGGAATCGAACCAGTGACCCTTTGGTTTGCTGGCAGGTGCTCAATCCATTGAGCCACGCCAGCCAGGGCCAAATACATATATTTTTATTTATTGCACAAATAACATTTTGAAAGACCTTCCTACTGAGCTGAGGCAGAACTGGCCTTATGTGGGACCAGAGCAGCCCCCAGCCCCAGAAGACTCGCGTGACCATGGGCACGGTTACCCCCACTCAAAACATCATCCCTGTGGCCTGTGTTCCACAATTCAACACCTGTGTGTCTTTACAATGGGTGTAGCTGTCGTCTCTCACATTTCACGGGTCTGACAAATACTCAGGTACAAAGAAAACGCAGGTGCTCCGCACGGTAAGGGTTTGTGGAGGCCAAGTGAGAGTGAGGCCTTGCAGGGCATCCCAGGACGGGGACGCAAGGTGCTGGGTGCGGCCAGTGCGAGTGAGACGCCACCAGGGGTTCTTCCCCCCTCGATCGGGAGGTAGCCTGGGGCTGGCCTTGCCCCGGGAATCAATAACCAGACACCCAAAACTTTACTAGATCTCTATCCTGCAAAAAAAAAAAAAAAAAAAAAAAAAAACTCCAGGGCCAAAACGTTTCACGGGTGCCATTTTGCAAATTATCAAAGAACGGAGTGCCACTTTATATGGCTTGTTCCACAGAATCGCTCCTGGTCTCACGGGGTAAAGCTAAAATAAACGTAATAACTCGGAGGGAGGGCCTCCGAGGCAGAGAGGACCGAATGCTGGGCGCGGGCGCGGGCACTTCTTAGCTGCAGCTGTTCCGCCGAGTGAAAGGCCTCCCCGCTCTTCCCCCCCCCACAGACGTACTTCCTCTGGGTTTCGGCTAAGGACTGTGTTCACGTCCACCTGGACCTGACCCGGTGAGTGCGCCTCTCCGCGGCCCTGCCCAGCGCGCCCGTGCTCCCTGTGCATGAGAGATGAGGGTCTCCAACCCGAGGCCGCGGTCCTCTCTGCCCCTTAGGTGGGCTTTCAGCCAGACCCGCTTGCTTTATCAGCCCAATTCCCATCACTCTGGGCAACGGAGTGTGTATGTGTGCGTGTGCTCGCACATGCGCATGCTTTGGTGGGATGGGCTGCCTAGCGCACTAGTCATCCTGTCCCCTAAGAGAGGGAG